GGACGAGGAGGAGGAGGAGGACGACGGACACGTCACGAATCGCGAAACCGCCGTACTCCTCCTCCTCTTCTCCTCCTCCTCCTCCTCCTCTCCCTCCTCTTCTCCCTCCTCCTCCTCGTTCTCCTGGTCCTCCTCCTCTTTCTTCTTCTCCTTCTCCTTCTCCTTCTCCTTCTCCTTCTCCTTACTCCTCGCTCGGCTCCTGCTCCTGCTCCTTCTCCTCTTGCCTGTTGTTGTTGTCGGTCAGAATGTCGATGACGAAACCGACGCCGCCATGTGCGTAGACCTCCATTGAGCTCTCCTTGTAGTCAGCCTGTAGCAGCGAGCGTCAGGCTACCTCCTTGTGCTCTCCTCATCTCTTTCTGCCTCGTCCCTGTCCCCTTCCCCTTCCCCTTCCCCTTCCTTGTCCCTCCTCCCCTTCTGTCCAACTTTATCCCTCTCCATCCAACTCCTCTGCCTGCTGCTGATCTTTCTCTTTCCCCTCCTCCTTGTCGTGTTAGTCGTCATATCCTGTCTGTTGCTCATCCCCCCTCCCCTCCCCTCCCCCCCCCTTTTTCCTCCTCCTCCTTCTCCTCCCCCCGTCCTTCTCCTCCTCCGTTGTTTCACCTGGTCCTTGGAGGAAGCCTTCTTGATGGCATTGTCCATATTGGTCTTAGGAACTCCTGCATTCTTGGCTTGATCCAACACCTGGGGATGGAGGTCAAGTGAGAATGGCAGCAGAGAGCATGGAACAGCACGAGGAGGAGGACGAGGAGGGGAGGGAGGGGGAGGAGCAGGAGGAGCAGGAGCAGGAGAGGGGGGGAGGAGCAGCAGCAGGAGAGCACAAACCTTGGCTAGCTGCACGTTGGCAACAGGGTCAGGCCCTCCGGCCTTGACGCACATGGTCACCATCTTGCCATACCTGACAATAACATCAGAGGCCCAGGCCCTTGGGGTCGAGCTCGGGAGAGCTCCACCTGGAGTAGAGCTTGGCCTTGGCAGCGTCTGTCTTTCCCTTCTTGTTGGCTCTCACCGCTGCAGCCCTTCCCATCATCACCTACCCGCCCCTGGTCACTTCCCTCCTCCCCTCCCCTCCCCTCCCCTCCCATACAGGAGAGATAGGCGCGGCCTTCCTCGTTGGCTTGCGCAGCTGCTGCTGGCTACAGGCATTGCGGATCTTGCAGGAGTTTTCCTCCTCCTCCTTCATAGGAAGCCTCTGCCCTGCTCGGGCTGCAGTCAACCGACCTCCTCCTCCTCCTCCTCCACTTCCTCCTGTCATACCGAAAATCTTTCCGACATTCAGCGAAGGAGCAGTGAAGGCCAGCGTGTCCTTAGCTTCTTCTCCTGTCCATCCCTTGGTAACGATGCTGATGCAGTCAAGAGTCTCAGACTTCCTCCTCTCTCTCTCTCTCTCTCTCTGCCTCCTCAAACGCTCACCGAAGATCCGCAAGGAACAAAGATGGCTTGTTGAACGCAGAAGCCGCATGCAAGCAGCAAACCAACAAGATAAGAGCGACTGAAATGAGAGGATAAGTGGAGGGAGAGAAATGAAGATGTGCAGCTGCAGGAATATGCAAGGGTCCTTCCCACCGACTCTTTACATGCTTCGGTCAAGTTTCGTACCACGTTGTTCCATGGCTAAGCACTACACCTCATGGCTAAAATCCGACCCATTCTCGCATATATCCTGCACGATTCCTCTCTTCTGGTGATCATGCTAATCTTCACCTCTTTCTTCCTCTCCTTATCTTTACTTAGCTTAATATCGTTTTCCTGTGCTTGCTCCTTCTCCTGGTTTCCGCTGCCTCAGTCACATCATCAACTCCTCACCCATCCTCGAGCACTCTCATTCTACTGCTCGCCACAGATCACCACCATCTCAACACTTGTTCTTCTGTTCATCTCCTTCCCTTCTCGTCCTCTTCCACTTCTCCTCCGGTTCTCCTCCCCTCCATTCCCTCGCATCGTACCTCGCTGCATAGCTCTTTAGCGGCCTCCCGTTGATCAGACTTCCTACCCCACCCTGTCTAGAGACTTCTTTAACCCACCCCATTCTTCATACCCACCCTGCCGCCATACCCAGCGTTTACCCTACAAAAATGAGGATTATATACCCCTACTTAGTGTACCCCTCGTACATACTACCCACTCTTCAAACCTGGCACCCCCAGATGATATACAGAATCACTACCGGTACTTTTGATTAATAAATAAAGGGGTACATCATCGTCTCCTCTATCACCCCGCAATTCTAAGTCATTTGGAGGGGTGGTCAAGATTCAGCGAACAGCCATGTTTGGCAAGCTGCACCAGGTAGTTGTAACCCTCCTCATGTCTTGCGAACGAGACAGCAATCACTGCATGGAGCAAGAGCAAGAGGATCAGGAGAAGTCCACTGAGTGATGAGTTTCATGATCATGAGGACCGCGAGTAAGAGCAGAAGCAGGAGCAGGAGCAGGAGCAGGAGCAGGAGCAGGAGCAAGATCAGGAGCAGGAGCAAGAGCAGGAGCAGGAGAGGTGCGCTAAGGAGATCGTGTTGGGAGATGATGATAAGAAATGTGGATTAGCCCGTTGCAAAGGATTTCTCAGGAGTGCATGATGCGCAAGATTGATAATTGCGACATTCAAACCGATGAAAAGAGAAATTACAGGTTTGGAGTAGAAGGAGTCTGAAGTCGACGATGCAGACCACCTTGTTACTTATCCTATAGAGATGTGATTGTACAAGGAAGAACAACGAGGATAGGACTATGCCTGCCAGTACGAAGAATTTAAGGAATGGTCTTGCTGCGATCGATCTCAGTGCATGGCTGAGAGGGGTTTCACTTGGATATATCCTCCACCAGATCTTCTTCCTGTGTTGTTGCTGACTCGGACATGCTTCAGACGCAGTTCCAAATCCTCCAGGAGGCTCCTCTGACTGTTGGGGCGAGCTTGGACCTACGGTAAATGATACATGCTGCTGCTTACATCACCTTGAGGATTTCACTTGATGTTGCAAACAGGATTGCGGTCCTCTCGGAGATGACTGTGGTTCTGGTTGGAAAATCTGATCAAAGGGCGAGGGCTAGCACTGTGAATAAAAGTTGAACAATCTGAAGTGTTCTCTGTTGTATAGCATGGACATCAGTTGTCGTTGAGGGAACTATCCACTCTCAAAGTTGGCTTTTTCTGTAGGACAGGAAAGAAGTTTGGTATGAGACTCAGCTGTAGATGTTATGATGTTAGTGTATTCAGCTGTTGTTGGCCAGCAAATCATACGTGACACAAGCAGGTGTCAGTCAGTTTCACAAGCTTTATTGACAAACGATGCACATCGTGGTGGGTGATGCAGGTAAAACACAAAACCTTACAGTCTGTAACGTAAGACTGCAATGGGAGACTTGTTCAAGAACGGACCTCCTGAAGTTCAGTTTGGTTACCGGGCAGAATATATCACTTGCAGCATTTTCACCTGTTAAAGCACCAATGCACTGCATTCTGTTGTCAAGGTAGTCGAAGTTTTCGCAACCTGAGTGACTTGTTCAATTTTTTTTTTCAAGGAGTTGATGATGGTATGAAATGTAGGCTAACTCCACTCCACCAAGGAAAACAGCACTCGTAGGTGAAGATTCACGGAACCCAACTCACTTTGTTTTGTGTCACGATCGAACACCGAGGTCACAGAAACATATCATACACTTTCCTCTTACATCAGCCAAGGTATCAAACACAAAGAAGGATCCACAAGAAATCATAGGAAGGAGAACTCATTTGAACAAACTGCATTCAATTTAACCGTCCAAGACAAACAGGTTCATTCCCCATTATCACCTTCCTACGATCACACGTTCGGCGCGCACTTACAGTAGTCGATCGCGTCCATGTTCTTCTGGATGTCTGTGCTTGTGTTTCTTGTCGGGTAGTCTGAAGGAAGCGACCCCAGATCAAAGTCCAGCATGGCGCCTTCGCCTACCGGGACCCACAGCATTGTCGCTTGGCGCTGCCAAGAGCAGATGGGGGGTAGGGTAAGTCAATGGGGGGTGGATATTTCTGTTATGGTAAATATCTTCCGATTTTTGTTTTTTATTTTTGAATATTTTACTCATAATTTTAGAATAATTCAAGAGTATGGGGGGTAGGGGTACAATAGAATTGTGCCTTTGAGGTGGGGTGGTCATATTGTAACGACACGAGAAACGGCTTTGTCCCTTCGATACCCCATGCCGAGACGTCGAGGAAAAGTGGTAGTAGTGGGAGAGTGGCAACGAAGACGAAAGAGAATGAAGAGAGAAGATGCATAGATGAGAATGTGATGAGCAGGAACGATGAGATGCGGTATGCAGAGGGAAGGAGATGAAGGCTAGCAGAGCAGGGTTAGGAGCAGTCTGGAGTGTGAGAAAATATCTGCAAGGGAAGACAATAGGGGTTGGCTTGGACACGTTCAAGACAGAAAAAGGTGAATGGTATGAGGAATGACCAGTAGAGCAGATCGAAACTAGACCGACTGATTACAACGATTTGTGTCATTTACATCGGCGAGAACTTTTTGTTTGGATGAATCCAAAGGATGATCATTAGCACTGCAAGAGTACTGCAGACCGTTGATCCATGTCGCTCGACGAGAACTGAGTGCACTTGATCTTTCTGTTGATTTGTTCGGTGTCTCGCTTGTGCTGCGCTTTCTCAATCGCGCATTGCGGACGCAAGGATGGGTGAATTCATAAGTCCTTCCAACTGACACGGTTTTTGCCGATCCAGCATGCTGCAAATGTTGTTCAGCAAACCCAGATTCTCCATGTTGTTCGACAACGTCAACCCATTCACCGAGGAGGTCGTCGGCGAGTGGAACCTCCCAGACGGCGTAAGTCCATATTCCTCACGCTCAGCCATCGCTTCTTCGAACCGCTGACCACGCCTCCAGATCCTCTTGGCCCCTGCTGGAGGGTTGGAATACCCCGCGAACGATCCGGCCACACAGTGAGCTCTCTCCTCCTCCTCTTCCCTCCTCCCCGCCCCCCCCGCCCCCGCTGATTCCTGCTGAAGGTACTACGGTCCTGATGGTGTGATCGACTTCACCACCCCCGTCGACGTCTCGGGATATTAGATTCAAGCTAGTGGAGGGAGAATGTTCTTGAGGGGAGAGCTATAAACATGATGTCAGTGACCTATGCTGCCCTGACCACCGTGGCTGTCACTGCTCGAAAGATTCGACTGACGTGGCCCACGCCGCAGCCTCCGAGGCTCCGAGGCCAGCGGCAGTGAGCCGGCCCGGCGGGCAGCTCCTCCATGCAGTGCCCGGCTGACTCGGAAGAATCTTTCAATTTTGCAGAAGGGAACTTGAACTAGGACTGCCACTGATCCGAACTGACTGAGTCCCGGTGACGCTCAGATGATCGGACTGCGGCTCAGGGCCGCACTGTCAATAGATGCCAGACTCTCAGTTCTGCACCGGCGAGTCAGCCCGGCAGTCACTTCAAGTACGGTTGCAGTACGGTCACAGGCGGCGGCCGGGTCGGCAGGCGCGGCGCTGGGAGGCCGCCGGGCTCCGAGGCTCACTGAGCGAGTACGGTCACTCAGTGATCGGACTCGGACGCCGGTCCACTCAGTGAAACTTGACGAGGGTATGAGGGTGATGATTATGTTGCGTGTGCGAACGGAAGGGGTGGGAGGAGAAATTGGGAGGTAGTGAGGAAAATATGGGGTGGGGTGAGAAAATAGGGGTACTTGAGAGGTGAATTACATTGGAAAAATAGGGGTGATGAATTTCCAGTGGGTTCGACGAATGGGTGGGTGGGTTGGGGTTTCAGGGGGTTTGATGATTTTCATGTGGGGTAGAAGCAGAAAGAGGGGTTAGATATCAGTCAAATGAGGGGGTACTGGTCAATTCACGAGGGGTGGTAGGAAATTGTGGGGTGGGGTGGGTGAGCGACGGCGGCGAAGATGGACAAATTGCTGAGGCCGCTGGCTATGTGGTATGGCCGAAAAGTGGAGCACGAGCTTGCGAAATATGGTGAGATCATGTAAAAACATGCATGAAATGACGTTATGGAGAGCGACTGGTACATGGTGGGTGTGCAGTTTGATTGAAATAGAAGGAATTAGCGGCACGGGGAGCAATGGAGAAGGAACAGGAAAAGAGAACGAAGAGACACGATGAGCGGGGATGAAGATTGTGATATGCATGAGACATGATTGAATATTGTTCAACAGAGCAGAGATGTTAAGAACTGATAGTGATCGAAGTACCGGTAGTCCGGGTGCAAATGCGTGGATGAAATCTGCCCATGCGTGCTGTTTGTCTTTTTCCCTAGCATCACCACGTTGCGCCCGCATGTGGATGTTTCTCAGTGTGATATTTTGCTCTGAACAGGTTTGAAATACGAGGACATCTTGAACGACTCTCACCCGGACATTCAGACTGCCATTTTAAGGTTTGGCTGCAGCTGCCATCCGCGGACAGCAGGCTCACGTGATCGCAGGCTGTCGCCGGAGGAGATTTCGAATCGCAACAAGAGGCTGAAGAGAGCTCTGGACATCTCTCTGAAACACGCTGAGGTGCCATACCTCCTCTTGCTCGCCTCCTCGGCACTTGACCTCTCGTGTGGATCAACAGTTGAGCAAGGAGGCGCAAGCTAGCGTACAGCCGTTTGTAGGATACCTCCCTCTTCAGCGAGCAAGGGATGAGCGTCTTGAGAGGTACACAACGTTATCAGTGCTCTTGATCCATGCTGATGGGAACGACGCAGGTTGATGAACAAGTAAGTTGTTGTTGTCACCTTGTTGGACGCGGATCTTTGCTTTTGATTTACATGAAGAACAATCACAAAGTTCTGCTGTTGCCTGCTCTGCTGTTTATTCTTCCTAATCTTGATGTGCGGCACCTCTGTGATCTGCAGGAAGAATTCTTCTTGGAGTTCTCTCCAGAAATCTTCGTGGAATTCTTCCTGCAGATTAGAGAATGGAAAGCGTGCAGGAAGCGCGAATCAGTTGATGTTGGGGGAGGTTGAGGGGAATAGGAGAGAAAGCAGCACGTTGCTAGGAATGATATGATTCACAATTCATTGATCGTCTCGGGAGGGTCGAGGTACTTGCGAGCGAGGAAGAGACTTAGGCCCTTGAGCCTTTTCTGCATCATGTCCCCGGGAACGAACTTGCCTGGGAGTGAGGGAGTGAGGCGAGGAAGCAGAGTACAAGTAGACATCACCGATGACGAGGCAGAGGAAGATCCATCGGGCAGGTGTCACTGCCAAGGCTGTGCCGGTCGAGGCCACAAGGACGCAGAAGCACATGGACTGACGCGGATGTTCTTGAAGCCAAGTCAGAGATAATCACCTCCTCCTCCGCTCACCCCAAGAATACAAGATGGCGAGCTTAGCGAGTATTCGATTCACCTGCACCAACAAATATTAGCCGCCCGTGTCGCCGAATTCCATGATAGCAAGAAAACACTGCTGCTGCTGCTGCTGCTGGTCGCCGCTGTGGAGGAAGGAGGAGGAAGAAGCGCCACCCTCACCTGCTGGATCGTGTTCTGCAGCTGGCTCAGCTTCTGCGTCTTCTCCCTCCCCATCTGCAGACCAACTTGCAGCTGTCGCTCCACCTGCCAGGAAGCTCACGATGGGGCTGTGCAACCAGTCTGCTCAACCTCCACGAAGTTCTCCCTGAGCGCCTTCTTCATGTTCTGACGAAGTTTGCGGACTGAGGCGACCTGGAGGACAAGTGACCAGCGGCTGGAGGGAGGAGGTGAGAGCAGGGCAGGAGGGAGCTGAGGAACGGGAGTGGCAAATATGGTAGACGCGAGGAAGAATTTGGGAGTGGCGAAGAGATCAGCGAAGAGGTGAGCAGCGGGCACTGGAAAGGAGAGGAGAGGAGGAGGGGGGGGAGGGAGAAACAAAGGTTTCTATTTGCAGGAAGGAGACCTACCTGATCGCCGATGCGAGAGAACCATCCTCTGGTAGCAGGGGACCCCATGTTCCTCCCAGACATCTGCGAGGGCATCCTCTCCAGGGAGAAGTCCTCCTCCTGCTTCCTATGGCTGATGAGCTCCTCCGCCGAGCTCTCCTTGTACTCAGCAAAGTTCGTGCCCTCCTCTTCTTCCTCGCTCCCCCTCCCCTTCAGCCTCTGCAAGTTGTCTCGAGTGATGGAATAGGAGCACCCCGTTGCCGATGCCACCACCGCTTGCTGCACACAAAGGTGAGGACTCAGCTCCGGAAGATCGCCGGAGAGTCACAGCTGAGCAACGGGCCGGGAGAAGGGAACAGCAGGCAAGGGAGGGGAGGGAGCAAAGACAAGTCACCTCCTTCATCGTCGTGCTCGCAGCTTCTATCACCGCTGTCCTCCTCCAGCCGCTCGAGATCGCCGGGAACAAGTGCCGCATGCACCCCCGCAGCGCAACTTTGCCAGAGAAGGTGATGAAGGCTCCTGGGATGAGCATGGACAGGGCATCGTAGTGGAAGACGGCAAGGCAGGCGGCGAGGGCTGCGGAGGAGAGGAGGGGCTGCCGCCAGCTGCAGAGGTGGTCCAGACTCTTCAAAGTGTCGTAGATGCCCAGGGAAAGCTCGTCTAGCTGGGGTTCAGCTGGTCAGCGCAGGGAGGGAAGAGGTCGGGGAGGAGTCACCTTGACCAGGTTCTGGTCGAGAGTCTTGAAGTTGAAGATGTCGAGGGTTTTCCCCTCCTCCTCCGCCTTCCGGTACCTCTCGGCGGCCTGGAAAGAGCTGTAAAGCTCCTCGATGAGCGGGCAGACGCCGTTGCTCTCGAGGCAGGAGGAGTTGAGGGAGCAGAGGAAGAGGGAAGAAACCTCTCGTCCTAGCACGCTCTCCAGCGCTCTAGCCCTGATGATGTTCTCCGCCACGAAAGCCGGCAGCCAAGGCAGGCGGCCACTCTCGAAGACTGTGTGGATGGGGATGGGAAAGTCGCTCCTCTCGTACCTCTCCCTCGCCATCTTGTGCGCGATCAGAAGCTCCTTGAGATGCTTCATCCACGTTGCACAGAGCAGGCCAGACAGCTCTACAAACTGGAACTTCGCCAGTCCTCCTCCGTGCCACCGAAACTGGATGGCTGAGAGGCCCATGAAGCCCTTCTGGCCTCCAGCTCCTCCAGCTTCCTGCTTCTCTCCCGCAAGATGCGCTCCACTATCATTGTCCGTGTCCGCATTGCTCGACTCGTACCCCGTCTCCCCCGCAAATTCCTCCCCGGGGCTAGGCATCCCGTTGTCGCTCGACGAGTCTCCGAACATGACCTCCCTCTTCGAGGAGGAGCAAGCTTCGTTCTTCAAGAGACCGCTGCTGCAGGAGACTGGAGAGCTGTTCCCGAGGTCGTTGGAAGAAGACTCGTTCGATCGCGTCGGTTTCTTTCGCAATGGCGTCAAGTCCGTTCCCTCCCCACCTCCTGATTTGAACCCAGCAAGCCGAGCTACAGCCGCCACTATCGAGAGGTTCCCCCCCTTAGCAAGCAGTCCAAAACCCGGGAGGTGAGAGAGGAGGAGGCGAGCTTGATTCAGCTCCACCGCTACCCTCCTCACGTCAATCACTGACTGTAGCGAGATAACCCTCCTGTTGTGGAGCACAGGATCCTGGAAGACGATGTGGTCAGCAGAGAGGTATAGGGACCCAACAGCCGGAGGAAACTGCGAGCAGTCAGCAGCGTATGGGGTGTGAAGGATACACTGCTCGGACTCCAGCCCACATTGCTCCTTGATCACCGACCACTGGTCCGCATAGTTACAGTCGAATTCGGCCTTATATAAGGCGTCCACGTACTTCTCGAAGCGATCGAGCGTGAGCTCCTCCTTGCTCTCGCAGTCGGAGACGAGCTCGTCAAAAACGATCCCCGCCACACCCGCAGTCCCTGCCAGCTGCTGCAGCAGGGGCGCCACTCGGACGAAACTGGACCGTGATCGGAGTTGTGTGTTGCCTTCCATCAGAGCGCTAACATCCATGAGCTCGAAGAAGAGGCGAGGGCACAGACGAAGAAGGTCGGGAATCTGCTTGCACGCTCGGAACATGGCATACTCCTCGAACTCCAGCTTCTTCTGTGCATGGATGTAATACGACTGCGACGAGAGGTACTCGTCTATCAACTGTTGCATGCTGAGACCCATCAGGCTGCTGAGCTGCTTCATCTGCTCAAACTGCATCCACCATGTCTTAAGACCGTCTCGCTTGGTCGACATCATATCAAGTACTCCTTCTACCCTTGTTCCAAGCTCTGCTGTGCTGGCTCCTGCTCCTGCCCAGTTTCTTGCGAGGCACAGCTGTTAGCCCTCAAGGCTCCGAAGCACTGGAAGCACAAGGCTTCACTTCTCCCTCCTCTTCTATCTCAATCAGCTCGGGTCTAGATCTCTCCTCTCCTCCCCTCCCCTCACTCCTGCCCTCTCCACCTCCCTCCCTCCTTCCCTTTCTGCATGGCGCGTAACTCAACCACCCACCCCCTCACCCTTTTTCCTCATTTCTTGAGTACCCTACCCCACCACCCACAAACCCACCCATATCATATCCTGAATTTCCGTATAAAAAGTACCCGTGTTTATCACACCCCTACCCTCACCTCAAAGATATCCACAAATATACCCCCCACACCTACCCCACCCCACCCCACCCCACCCCACCCCCTTCAATGCAAACAATTCCACCCCATCCCGGTCGCTCTGAGGGGCACCCACTGGGCCGCGCTGAGAGTCTCAGTCCCGGGCCCGGGGCCCCCGCGCGGCGGCCGCGCGCCGGGAGCCTCCGAGGGCCGCCGGGCCGCCCGGCGGCGGCCGAACTTCGGCCGCTCGAGGCTCGAATCGGAACCGTTGGACAGGCTCCTCGGACGGTGAGCCTGACTCAGTCGGAGCCTCACTGCACTGCTTAGTCTTTTAGTTAGACTCCGGCCGTGACTCGGAGGCCGCTCACTGTACTTCCCGGGCCGGCCCGTGGCAACCCAGCCGGGCGCCGGGCCGGGCCGGCCGCCGGCCTGCCCCGGCGGCCGGGCAGCCTCGGATCGGACGCCACGGTGCGCATGGCCGGCCGGGCGGCCGGGCCGGGTGACGGTGCGGCCCTGAACTTCCGGGCCCCCGGGCCTGACTCTCGTCGGAGCCTCGGAGGGCCGCCGGGGCGTGCCGCCGCAGTCGGAGCGTTGGCAGCGCCGGCCGGGCCCGGGCCCGGGGCCCCTGTCAGCGGCCGCACTGCACTGCTCGCGGTCGGCAGTCAAGCCTCGCGGCCCGCCGGGCCCGGTAATCAGGTTGTCCGTAAAACCATTTTAATTGACCTTTGACACTGAAGAGACATGGCCTCTTGAGACTGAGGAGGCACCACTCCCCTGCAGACGCCAGCGCCACCTGCCTTAGATGTTCACATGGAGCAAAGACCCTCAAGGTATCACCTTGGGCTGTTTCTGAAGTAAATTTATTGAGAAATGTCATCACTATACCCCCATCTCTTCGAATGAATTGAACTTTGAGTTACCCCCACCCCCCATTGGAACCCTTATAAATCCCATAAATTAAATGTATAACAGACCCAAATTGTAGCTTCCTATCTTCCTAGGACCTCTGGTGTACACATTCCTTAGAGGGATGCCCAGTTGGTCATAGGGAGGTCATAGCAATCAAAAATAGCGTAATTGAAGAGAAGAGGGTGGGGGTGGTTTTCGTTTTTATACATGTGGATGGGTAGGTAGGGTAGTCATTTTGCTGGGAATTGCAGGGTGGTCATCTCTTGGTGTAGAGCCCCCCTCGTACTACCCGGGTACTGTGAAGTCCAGCAGTGGGTACTGTGATGTGAAGGGGTCCATAAGGGACTGGGGTACACCATATGGGTGGGGTGGTAAAGGAAAGTTGTAGTGTTGTACTCTCCAAAGGGGGGTGGTTCTTGGAAGTTGATAGGGGTGGGGTTGGGTTGGGTGGGTTGTCCTGAAGTAGGTGGGGGTTGGGCTGACCATTGGCGCCCAAACAGAAGCAAAACATGGGTGGAAGATGAGAGGGAGTGGGAGGGAGGGAGGGAGGGAGGAGAGGAGAGGAGAGGAGAGGAGAGGAGAGAGAGGAGGAGAGGAGAGGAGAGGAGAGGAGAGGAGAGGAGAGAGAGAGTGCGGGAGGGAGAGGAGAGGAGAGTGGGAGGAAAGGGAGGAAAGAGAGGAGAGGTCTGCGGGAGGGAGTTAGTGGGGAAGGAAATTAGAGGCATGATGAGCGAAAAAATGCACCGAGAGGGCACGCAGGAGAAACTTCGCGAGGAAGGAGCTGAATTCGATGAAAAGACCGATATCTGAAGAAGTTAGAACCAGCGATTGAGATGAAAGCTTGGCTACCATCCTCTAGAGTTGGGTGTGAAAAACCAACAAGAAAGATTTCGTTTTAAGTTTGGCTCCCCGATTCTTGTGATGGTTTCCTCAGTAACTTGGCCTGACATGTGTCCACAGCAGAACCGAAGCATGTACGTCTTCAAGATTAATCTTAATCATTCGCTCAAGCGGATCGTTGTGGATGAGGCGTTCACTTTCCCATCCCTGTGAGCATTTTTTGTGATCTCCTCCCAATTTGTTGATGTCTGGACAGTGTCTCGTTGATCAGGGAGCGCTTCGAATTGAACTCGGATGTCGCTCTGAAGCTGAAATACAAGGACCCAGAGGGTGACATTGTCACTGTAACCAGCAAAGCTGAGGTCTTGGAAGCGTTGAGCCTCCTCGACAAGGAGTCAAACCCTATCTTGAAGCTGTTCGTGGACATGGACAACAACTCAAGTGCCGGGGTTGTAGAGGAGCCGCAACCAGACCTTCCTGTTCGATCGGAGGATCAACCTTGCATGAGAGAGTCGATAGCGTCTGAGGACTCTATTGTCATGGTGGATGGTGAAAATGACAACAGCTCTCCCAAGAATGACGAAAACGAAGAGGAGGTCCCGGCGGACGCGGATGAGGACGAAGTGTTGAAGGAGGTCATGAAAGCATCAGCTGAAGAATATGCCCGTCAACAGGCGGCTGAGGCAGCCCGCAAGGCGGCCGAGGAAGAGGAGGCAGCCCGCAAGGCGGCCGAGGAGGAGGAGGCAGCCCGCCGCATTGCGGCCGAGGAAGAGGAGGCAGCCCGCAAGGCGGCCGAGGAGGAGGAGGCAGCCCGCAAGGCGGCCGAGGAAGAGGAGGCAGCCCGCAAGGCGGCCGAGGAGGAGGAGGCAGCCCGCAAGGCGGCTCAGGAGGAGGAGGCAGCCCGCCGCAAGGCGGCTCAGGAGGAGGAGGCAGCCCGCAAGGCAGCTCAGGAGGAGGAGGCATTCCGCCGCAAGGCGGCTCAGGAGGAGGAGGCAGCCCGCAAGGCAGCTCAGGAGGAGGAGGCAGCCCGCCGCAAGGCGGCTCAGGAGGAGGAGGCAGCCGCCCGTAAGGCGGCCGAGGAGGCAGCCGCCCGTAAGGCCGCCGAGGATGCTGCAAGAGAAATAGCAGTGTTTGAAAAGACCATGGTCATGTCAAGTGAAGAGCAGAAGGTGAGAGCAAAGCGAGATATCCATGATTGTCTCGCTCATCACTTTTGTAGATCGAGGAACGCATCATGGCCGAGATTGCTTTTGCAGCGGCGGAGGAGGATGCTCTCATGCGAGCAAAAAGTTTGATGAAGGCTGGGTGCTCTGTCGACCAGCTCAAGTCGATCTACTCTACTGGCATTCTCTCTCAGATTGGACTCGTTGGAGATGACTCGGTCGAGCATGGCTTCTCGCGTGGGCCCGTTGTCAACTGGGAATCCACAAAAGCTGTTGCAGAGCAGGATGAAAGCGAACGATTCCCCTCGCAAGAGCAGCAGGCGCTTGTGGACGAGGTCGGCAACCTTGCAGCTCGCCTGACAGCCTTCTACATGGAGCACAACCAAGCTCATCTCGATCGCGCCATCAGTGTCGCTCGTCAGTTCGTTGGTCGTGAGGACGATCTCAACGTGGCTCTTGTCAGGAAATACGGATGCGACTTGACTTCGCGAACAGCTGCTCGAGACATGTCAAGAAACACGCAGCTCCCTGTCGCTGAGGTTGCGATGAACAGCTCCAACGAGCCCAGAGCACCTGTTGTCGCTTCAGCTCCTGTGGAGGAAGACTTTGCCCCTGCCTCGCCCTCGGCTCCCTCTGCCCCCTCTCCTGCTCCTGCCACTGTCTCTGCGGACAGTGCGCTGGCTGTGCTGCTGGGAATGGGATTTTCAGACATGGAGAAGAATCGATCGTTGCTGCAAGCGTGCGGGGGAGACCTGCAGGCTGTGATTGCTCAGCTACTTGACGAGTAAGAAGAGTGAGGGGTTGGCTCGTTCAGATTGTGTAACCTTAGCAAGAGTTGGTTGGACAGCGTGAGTGAAGAAATTTGAGTGCTATGTGCTCGTGAGTAAGAAGAGATCTTCATTCAAGTACATCTAGCCTTTGATTTCATTCGTGTCCTGGGCTACTGCAGGGCTCGCCTGAGCTTGATGCTCCTGCAAATGCCAGCGAAGAGAGAGAACGTGTGTGACTTCTGCAGCAGCTGTCGCTGCGACGAGAAGCTCGACACTTTCGACTGCAAGAGGTGCTGGAGCTTGGATGAGTCAGCCCAGCAGCTAAGAAAGAAGCGAAGAAACTGCCTCTTCCCGTCCTCCCAATGTCTCTCTACACTTTCCATTCGCCGCGATCGCACGTCATCCGATCCATACCTAAGCACGTGAAAAACTCCTCTCAAAGTTCTTATCTTCCTGCGCTCCCCTAGCCGCCCCACTGCTGTCGCCCCTACCGTCCGCCTGGCTCGGACAGCCCTCCACCGCTCGATCGCGCCCCATGCCGTGCTCTTGTCTCTTGATGCTTTCATCGTCGCGTACCTCGCCCGCAGCACCGCCATGCGTCGAGCGAGCTGTGTCCAAGCAAGAAAAGCCCCGGCCTGAGAGCTGAGCGTCGAGCTCCTTGTCACGAGCCTGGAGCTCTGCTTCATGGTCCTCGACATGCTGAGGCCCTCCCTCCATGCCGCCATCGCTTTCTCCATCTGCTCCACTGCCCTTGACCTCACCGCCCTCGCTTGTATGCCCCGAGATCGTCGTCTCAGACCACTCGACACCCTCCAGTGGCACAAGACAGCCCGCTGAGTATCGCTGCGATACGAGGCCACGGCCTTCAGCAGACGAGCCCGGCGAGATCTCCTTGCAGCCACCACGCTTGTCAGCACCCCAAAGTACACCCGGACGTCTCGTCGCACGACTCGAGTCTTGATCGAGTTAGCCTTGGCAAGCACCCACCGCGTCCAGGCTGTCAAGTCCGACCACGCCTGCAAGCCTCGACTTGTGACTCGCCTCTCCTCCATCCGTCGCGCCTTAGCATCGCTCGCCTGCTCTACCCTGAGCGTCGCCATGTCTGATACCGCAGATTGGACATACGCAGACAGCTCGTCAATCACCCGCCTGAGCAGCCGTTGCGACCTTGTCCGGTCTAGCCTCTGCATGAGTCGCCAGAGCTCTCGAGCCGCTTGTGTGTACGAGACCCAGCGGTGGAAGCGGGTGTAGAGCTGCATGGAGAGCGATCTCTGTACAGTGTGCAGCAGACAAGCCTTGAGCCGTCGTGCCTCCCACACTGCCTCCCGGTACCCTACAAACGCCCCACGCTGGATCCGGTACCTGCCCTGTATTGAAGCGCCTGCGTGTAGCCGCAGCCTTGTGTCTTGGTCGAGCCTCTTAGACTTGGAGTCCTGAGCCAGCTCGGCCCATGCGACAAACAGGTCCTCGACATGCCTCTGCGTTACCACCAGCCAGATGGTGCGGCGGATCTGCTGCTCCCTCTTGCGCATACGGCGGCATGCGGCCACCGATGCTGCGAAACGGATCAAGGCTTCTCCTGCTCGTCGTCGCCTCAGCACCTCTACACAATGTGTCCTCCGTTGCCTCGTGCGGGAGCTATGACGCGATGCCCATGCCCACTCCGCTAGTAAAGGCTTGAGACTGCGTGCTCGCTGCCCCCGAGCCATGCATTCTCCGGACAGCACTCTCCATGTATAGATGGTAGCTCTTCCATGCCAGACGATGATGGCTTGCTTGAGCAGGTATGCTTCTCTATCGCGAGGACTCTGCAGCAAGTAGTACGCTTTGCCCAAGATCAGATGCTTCTGGGGCAGCGCACAGACGTGCAGGTGGTTGACTTGACGCAAGAGATACTGGGATTTCATCACCATCAACTCATCGCCAGGACGAGCTGCAAGCTTGACGTCCTCGCAGATTTGACTCGAGATCATACGCTGTAAGGCAAAGGAGCTCGTCTGTCGACTGATGTCCAACTCTGTCTTCACGTACTGGTTTACATTTCGCATTTGCCAAAGCGATACTAGATACTTGCTCAAGCACAGGCGGTCCCTGTTGGCGCGAAAGGACGTCGCTTTCGCTTGCAGTACAAGCTTGGCATTGACCCGCCCCGCCCAGCTCACGAAGACAAGCCTGCTTGCAGCCCTGCGGGTTCGGTCCACGAGCTTGTTCACGCCATACTGCAGACGTCTCACACTCAGCAGGTACAAATCCAGCGCCTCAAATGCAGAAACCATGAGCTCCTTCCTCCTGCGCTCCCCTAGCCGCCCCACTGCTGTCGCCCCTACCGTCCGCCTGGCTCGGACAGCCCTCCACCGCTCGATCGCGCCCCATGCCGTGCTCTTGTCTCTTGATGCTTTCATCGTCGCGTACCTCGCCCGCAGCACCGCCATGCGTCGAGCGAGCTGTGTCCAAGCAAGAAAAGCCCCGGCCTGAGAGCTGAGCGTCGAGCTCCTTGTCACGAGCCTGGAGCTCTGCTTCATGGTCCTCGACATGCTGAGGCCCTCCCTCCATGCCGCCATCGCTTTCTCCATCTGCTCCACTGCCCTTGACCTCACCGCCCTCGCTTGTATGCCCCGAGATCGTCGTCTCAGACCACTCGACACCCTCCAGTGGCACAAGACAGCCCGCTGAGTATCGCTGCGATACGAGGCCACGGCCTTCAGCAGACGAGCCCGGCGAGATCTCCTTGCAGCCACCACGCTTGTCAGCACCCCAAAGTACACCCGGACGTCTCGTCGCACGACTCGAGTCTTGATCGAGTTAGCCTTGGCAAGCACCCACCGCGTCCAGGCTGTCAAGTCCGACCACGCCTGCAAGCCTCGACTTGTGACTCGCTTCTCCTCCATCCGTCGCGCCTTAGCATCGCTCGCCTGCTCTACCCTGAGCGTCGCCATGTCTGATACCGCAGATTGGACATACGCAGACAGCTCGTCAATCACCCGCCTGAGCAGCCGTTGCGACCTTGTCCGGTCTAGCCTCTGCATGAGTCGCCAGAGCTCTCGAGCCGCTTGTGTGTACGAGACCCAGCGGTGGAAGCGGGTGTAGAGCTGCATGGAGAGCGATCTCTGTACAGTGTGCAGCAGACAAGCCTTGAGCCGTCGTGCCTCCCACACTGCCTCCCGGTACCCTACAAACGCCCCGCGCTGGATCCGGTACCTGCCCTGTATTGAAGCGCCTGCGTGTAGCCGCAGCCTTGTGTCTTGGTCGAGCCTCTTAGACTTGGAGTCCTGAGCCAGCTCGGCCCATGCGACAAACAGGTCCTCGACATGCCTCTGCGTTACCACCAGCCAGATGGTGCGGCGGATCTGCTGCTCCCTCTTGCGCATACGGCGGCATGCGGCCACCGATGCTGCGAAACGGATCAAGGCTTCTCCTGCTCGTCGTCGCCTCAGCACCTCTACACAATGTGTCCTCCGTTGCCTCGTGCGGGAGCTATGACGCGATGCCCATGCCCACTCCGCTAGTAAAGGCTTGAGCTGCATTTTCATCACCATCAACTCATCGCCAGGACGAGCTGCAAGCTTGACGTCCTTGCAGATCTGACTCGAGATCATACGCTGTAAGGCAAAGGAGCTCGTCTGTCGACTGATGTCCAACTCTGTCTTCACGTACTGGTTTACATTTCTCGTGAACCAAAAGGCAATCAGGTGCCTGCTCAAGCACAGGCGGTCCCTGTTAGCGCGAAAGGAGGTCGCTTTCGCTTGCAGTACAAGCTTGGCATTGACCCGCCCCGCCCAGCTCACGAAGACAAGCCTGCTTGCAGCCCTGCGGGTTCGGTCCACGAGCTTGTTCACGCCATACTGCAGACGTCTCACACTCAGCAGGTACAAATCCAGCGCCTCAAATGCAGAAACCATGAGCTCCTTCCTCCTGCGCTCCCCTAGCCGCCCCACTGCTGTCGCCCCTACCGTCCGCCTGGCTCGGACAGCCCTCCACCGCTCGATCGCGCCCCATGCCGTGCTCTTGTCTCTTGATGCTTTCATCGTCGCGTACCTCGCCCGCAGCACCGCCATGCGTCGAGCGAGCTGTGTCCAAGCAAGAAAAGCCCCGGCCTGAGAGCTGAGCGTCGAGCTCCTTGTCACGAGCCTGGAGCTCTGCTTCATGGTCCTCGACATGCTGAGGCCCTCCCTCCATGCCGCCATCGCTTTCTCCATCTGCTCCACTGCCCTTGACCTCACCGCCCTCGCTTGTATGCCCCGAGATCGTCGTCTCAGACCACTCGACACCCTCCAGTGGCACAAGACAGCCCGCTGAGTATCGCTGCGATACGAGGCCACGGCCTTCAGCAGACGAGCCCGGCGAGATCTCCTTGCAGCCACCACGCTTGTCAGCACCCCAAAGTACACCCGGACGTCTCGTCGCACGACTCGAGTCTTGATCGAGTTAGCCTTGGCAAGCACCCACCGCGTCCAGGCTGTCAAGTCCGACCACGCCTGCAAGCCTCGACTTGTGACTCGCTTCTCCTCCATCCGTCGCGCCTTAGCATCGCTCGCCTGCTCTACCCTGAGCGTCGCCATGTCTGATACCGCAGATTGGACATACGCAGACAGCTCGTCAATCACCCGCCTGAGCAGCCGTTGCGACCTTGTCCGGTCTAGCCTCTGCATGAGTCGCCAGAGCTCTCGAGCCGCTTGTGTGTACGAGACCCAGCGGTGGAAGCGGGTGTAGAGCTGCATGGAGAGCGATCTCTGTACAGTGTGCAGCAGACAAGCCTTGAGCCGTCGTGCCTCCCACACTGCCTCCCGGTACCCTACAAACGCCCCACGCTGGATCCGGTACCTGCCCTGTATTGAAGCGCCTGCGTGTAGCCGCAGCCTTGTGTCTTGGTCGAGCCTCTTAGACTTGGAGTCCTGAGCCAGCTCGGCCCATGCGACAAACAGGTCCTCGACATGCCTCTGCGTTACCACCAGCCAGATGGTGCGGCGGATCTGCTGCTCCCTCTTGCGCATACGGCGGCATGCGGCCACCGATGCTGCGAAACGGATCAAGGCTTCTCCTGCTCGTCGTCGCCTCAGCACCTCTACACAATGTGTCCTCCGTTGCCTCGTGCGGGAGCTATGACGCGATGCCCATGCCCACTCCGCTAGTAAAGGCTTGAGACTGCGTGCTCGCTGCCCCCGAGCCATGCATTCTCCGGACAGCACTCTCCATGTATAGATGGTAGCTCTTCCATGCCAGACGATGATGGCTTGCTTGAGCAGGTATGCTTCTCTATCGCGAGGACTCTGCAGCAAGTAGTACGCTTTGCCCAAGATCAGATGCTTCTGGGGCAGCGCACAGACGTGCAGGTGGTTGACTTGACGCAAGAGATACTGGGATTTCATCACCATCAACTCATCGCCAGGACGAGCTGCAAGCTTGACGTCCTCGCAGATTTGACTCGAGATCATACGCTGTAAGGCAAAGGAGCTCGTCTGTCGACTGATGTCCAACTCTGTCTTCACGTACTGGTTTACATTTCTCGTGAACCAAAAGGCAATCAGGTGCCTGCTCAAGCACAGGCGGTCCCTGTTAGCGCGAAAGGACGTCGCTTTCGCTTGCAGTACAAGCTTGGCATTGACCCGCCCCGCCCAGCTCACGAAGACAAGCCTGCTTGCAGCCCTGCGGGTTCGGTCCACGAGCTTGTTCACGCCATACTGCAGACGTCTCACACTCAGCAGGTACAAATCCAGCGCCTCAAACGCAGAAACCATGAGCTCCTTCCTCCTGCGCTCCCCTAGCCGCCCCACTGCTGTCGCCCCTACCGTCCGCCTGGCTCGGACAGCCCTCCACCGCTCGATCGCGCCCCATGCCGTGCTCTTGTCTCTTGATGCTTTCATCGTCGCGTACCTCGCCCGCAGCACCGCCATGCGTCGAGCGAGCTGTGTCCAAGCAAGAAAAGCCCCGGCCTGAGAGCTGAGCGTCGAGCTCCTTGTCACGAGCCTGGAGCTCTGCTTCATGGTCCTCGACATGCTGAGGCCCTCCCTCCATGCCGCCA